TCGTCTGATGTACGATGCTTGTTTGTTCTACTTCGTCTCTCTCTGTCTCTGTCTGTCTGTCGTGCTCGTTTGCTTGTTCTACTTCTTCGTCTCTCTCTCTCCCTCTCTGTCTGTCTCTCCCTCTCTCTTCTCCACAACACGCACACACACACATACACACGATTAAATTTTAACGATCGCTGTCTGTCTGTATGAATGTCTGTCTATGTCTGCCTCTCTCACACACACGGACAAACACGCATAAACACACACACGATTAGACTTTAACGATCAGTCTGTCTGTCTCTCAAACACAGGTAGACTTTATCGATTTGTCTGTCTGTCTGTCTCTCTTACTTTTTTTGGGGGAAGGGGGGGTCAAATTCTGGTCTCGGTCTCGTTCGCAATAAGAATTCTTTTATATATTCATGCCAAATTTCTTTTAAAATGTAGGGCGGGTGGGTGGTGGGTGGGTGTGTTTGTGTGTGTGTGTGTGTGTGTGTGGTTGGGGGGGGGGGGCTACATACATACATCTACCGAGAACATTAACAAACTGAAATTGGAAAATCAGTAAAAGAAAAAACTTTCGTCGTCGCAACAGCTCCCTACCCTTTACCCCCCCCCCTCCAAAGACTCGAAACCAAATACATCAAAAAAAGAAAAAAAGGAAAAAGTTTCCCCGACTGTTTTCAGCTCAAATAATGTCAACTTTTATCCGATGAAAATGCATGACTTTGCCCCATAAAGTCCCCGCCGGAACTCGCCCCGAGGAGACTTGCCTGATCAGATTATCGAATTTCCAAGACCTTCGGCTACACTGTGCTCGGTCCGGGCGCCTGTCAAGCCGGAGGCAGAACCTGTCAAGACGCCGGGTGCAGCTGTGGGCCCTTTTGGGGGCCTTTCATGGGGTCACTCTATGGGGTCCCTCCACGGGTTCCATCCTCGGGATCCCTTCTTGGGGTCCGTCCTCGAGTTTCCTTCATGGGGCCCCTCCACGGGTTCCCTCCTCGGTTTCCCTTCATGGGGTCCCTTCACGGTTCCCGTTTTTGGGGTCCCTCGTCGTTTTCTTTCTTGGGGTCCCTCCACGGGTTCCATCCTCGGGATCCTTCTTGGGGTCCGTCCTCGAATTTCCTTCATGGGGCCCTCCACGGGTTCCCTCCTCGGTTTCCCTTCATGGGTCCCTTCACGGTTCCCTCATCGGGTTCCCGTTTTGGGGTCCCTCGTCGGTTTTCTTTCTTGGGGTCCCTCCACGGGTTCCCTTTTGGGGTCCCTCCACGGGTTCCCTTCTTGGGGCCCCTCCACAGGGTTCCCTTCTTGGGGTCCATTCTTGGGGTCCCTCCATGGGTTCCCTTCTTGGGGTCCCTCCACGGGTTCCCTTCTTGGGTCCCTCCACTGGTTCCCGGGGGGCCCCTCGTCGTTTCTTTCTGGGGTCCCCCCACGGGTTCCCTTCTTGGGCCCCTCCACAGGTTCCCTCCTCGTTTCCCTTCTTGGGTCCCTCCATTTCCCTCCCTTGGGTTCCCTTTCCCCCCTTGGGGCCCCTCCACGGGTTCCCTCCTTGGGGTCCTCCACGGGTTCCCTCCTTGGGTCCCTCCGGGTTCCCCTTGGTCCCACGGGTCCCTCCCCCTCCACGGGTTCCCTCCTTGGGGTCCCCTCCCGGTTCCCTCCTTGGAACGGGTTCCCTCCCCTTCCCTCGGGGTCCCCCTCCACGGGTTCCCTCCTTCCCCTCCACGGGTTCCCTCCTTGGGGTCCCCTCCACGGGTTCCCTCCTTGGGGTCCCCTCCACGGGTTCCCTCCTTGGGGTCCCTCCTCGGGTTTCCCTCCTTGGGGTCCCCCTCCACGGGTTCCCTCCTTGGTCCCTCCACGGGTTCCCTCCTTGGGGTCCCCTCCACGGGTTCCCTCCTTGGAGTCCCTCCACGGGTTCCCTCCTTGGGGTCCCTCCACGGGTTCCCGTTTTGGGGTCCCTCGTCGGTTTTTTCCTTCTTGGGTCCCTCCAGGGGTTCCCTCCTTGGGTCCTCCTGGTTTCCCTTCTTGGGTCCCTCACGGGGGGTCCCTCTACGGGTTCCCTCCTTGGGGTCCCTCTACGGGTTCCCTCCTCTGGCTCCCTTCCTGGTTCCCTCCTTGATGTCTTTCCTAGAGGTCCTTACTTGGGGTCCGTTCTTAGGAGTGCAAGAGGATTCATGGCGTGAAGCGTTTGCATAATCTTTCTTTTTCTCCGACTCCCAGACGGCGAGAAGTGTAGCGTCTTTCCAGCAGAGGTCGCGAGTTACTTTTCTTCTTAAGGCTGGAGGCTGCCGTGTCCCGCTTCGACCTGCGGCCATGTTCAGTGTCATTATAAATCTCGCCCACAGCTCCTTGGCTCAGCACGTCATGTCGCTTTGCGAGATAAGGAACCTCAGCGCCCTCCTGCCTTTTGCTTTCCTTTCCCCTCTCCCTCCTGCTCTTGCACACATATATGCATACATACATACATACATATAAATACGTGTGTGTGTATATATATATATATATATATATATATAATATATATATATATATATATACCCACACCACACACACATATACACACACACACACACCACAACACACACACTATATATATATATATATATATATATATATATCATAATATAACACACACACACACATACACACACACACACACACACACACCACATGTACACCTACGTTTACACGCGAAAACCTTCCCCCAAGGATACTCAGCATTACCATCACTTCAAAGCACGCGTCCCCACCACCTAACTGCACTCCACACGCCACACACGCACACTACTATATCCACTTGCGTCTCCACGTGTTTTCATACGCAAATAGTGGGAGTTCTAAGGTTCCTCTTGCGTCTTCAAGTGTTTTCATACACAGATACAGGAAGTTCTAAATATCCACTTGCGCCTCCACCTGTCTTCATACGCAAATAAAGGGCGTTCTAAATATCCACTCGCGTTCCCACCCGCGTTCACATCCACAAATAACACGAGTTCTGCCACTGTTCCCAAAGCAATTCCCACGATAATCCTCCTCGATTCTGTTCTCCGCTGGCTAGGAGGGACAACCGGCAAAAGCCCGACGATTTGCAAAGGTTGTTAGCGCATTTTCGCGAGCACACCTTCTGAAGGAGGCGCTGCCGGGACCAAGGAGCTGGCCGAGACGCACCGCTCTTGTTCGCGGCGCCTGCTTGGGATCCCACCTTCAGAAAGGGCCGTGAAGCGAAAGGAAATGTGGGTGCTTTGTTAAGGCGGGAGGCGTTTTAGTTGCAAGGAAAACAGCGGTTGCCGGTCCACGAAGCACAGTTCAAGCGACAGTAATGGCAAAAGCAGAATAAAAGCCTGAGCCACCGGGGAAGACTTAGCGCGCCCGCGGGAATAACTGGGGAAACCACCAGAGCACGGCAGAGTAAAATGTGATTTTGACGTCACTGCAAAAATCACCGAAATCCACCAGCAGTTTGACATTCCTATATCGGATGAGAACACCACAATCTGTCGCGACGTTCGGCCTAATTACTTTATATCTTTCTGTTTCCCTCTCTTACTCTTACTCTCTCTGTCTCTTTCTGTTTCCCTCTCTTACTCTCTCTCTCTCTCACCCTCTCAAACACTTTCTTTCTCTCTTTCTCTTTCTCTCTCTCTCACACACATACCCACACACACACCACATACACTTTCTTTCTCTCTCAAAAAAAAAAAAAAAAAAACGCAATGCCTTACCCCTTGCCACCCTCCCTCCCCATCTCCCTCGCCCCCATCCTCCCACCTCCACCGCGGGCACGAGACCCAAACCAACAACCAACACCCTCCCGCCCCGCCCCCTTCCACCCCCTCCCCGCCCGCCCCCTCACCCCCTCCCCTCCTATAATCCCAGCCGTCTTTCCAGCCCGCCTGAGTATCCTCCTAATATCCAATACACCGCAACGTATTATCCTCCAGATATCAACACCAACAACTAATTAAGGAAGTAATAATCGATACGTTACCTTCAACCGCGAGGGTTTCGGGAGGGGGGGAGAGGGGGGGAGAGGGAGGGGGCAAAGGAGAGGAGACGGGGAGGAAGGAGAGAGGGGGGAAGGGAGGGAGATGGAAGAGGAGGGGAGGGTAAGGGAGAGGAGAGAAGAGGACAGGGAGAGGGAGGAGAGAGGAAAAGAGAGTAGGGGGAGGGAGGAGATGGAAGGACAGGGAGGGGAGGGTAAGGGGAGGAGAGAAGAGGGGAGAAGGGGGAGATGGAGAGGGTAAGGAGAGAATGAGGAGAGAGGAAAGAGAGGAAGTGGAGGGACGGAAAGGAGGGAGGAGGGTAAGGGAAGGGTAAGGAGAGGGAGAGGGAGTGACGGAAAGGGTTAGACGAAAGTAAAGGAGCGCCTAAGAGGGTGAGGAAAGGAGAGGGGAGCGAGGGAGGGCGAAGGACCAGTAGAGGGATAAGGGGGGGAGGGGAGAGAGGAAAAGACTGAGGTAGGGAAAGGAAAGCAGTAAGAGGGTGAAAGAGGACGAGGGGGCGTGAGGGGAACGAATAAGAGGGTAGGAGAGTAGGAGAAGGAGAGAGGAGGGAGGGGAGGGAGGGCGAAGAGTCAGAAAGAACGACCTAATGAGAAGCCTCGCTGATGTGTGCGCCTGCTAGTCTTCACAGATCCGATTCTACACACACTTGCACGCACATCAACATACGCGTAAATGAGTGTATGAGTGTGGAAGTGAACGAATGACTGCGGAAATGTGAGAGCGAACGAGTGCGTGGGAGAATGTGAGTCTGAGTGAGTGAAAGTATAAATGAGTGAGTTGATGAACAAACGAGCGTGCATGAGAATGGGCGTTGAAGAGGGTGTTTGTGGAGACGTGTGAATGCGTACGTACAAGCGTGTGACCTCAACCCAAAACACATCCATCCCCTGCCGTCGGTTCCCACCCGCGACCCCCACCTCGAGCGGCGCAGCAGAAACTCCGACGAAGCCCCGCGCAAGACGACCACCCCTGAACTCCGGGCAGACGACCCGGCTCCGATTCCCCAATCACGAGATGCCGCTGATTTTCGAAGTCAGGGCGGATGCCACTCCACGCAAACAGCACGAAGCGATGGCTCTTTCGGTGCGGATGTGCCCGGGCCGGCGGCGACGTGGGACTCCGCCGCAGGAAATGTAAACATGAATGCCGTCGAAACTCAAATGAACAGCTGACTGGAAGGAGGGGCCGTGGTGACTGAAACTAAATCTAAATTCGCAGTTTTCTCTTTTATTTTTTTCTCTTTCTGTTTCGAGTTTTTTTTCTGCTTCTGTGTGTTTGTATGTTTGCATGTTTGTTGAGTGAGTGAGACAAAAAAAGTTTTAATACTGTTATTAAAATCAAGAATTCACGTAAATACCTTCGAACGAACAACACTGTCAACAAACAAATAGGAATTAACGCTAGGATTCTTCATTTATTTCTCTATTCTTTTCCAGTCCATCTATTTGATCGACTGCCGGTTTCACAAATCGCCCGACGCCTTCCCCCTTACTCGGGCCCACGCGGAAACTACGCTCCGACCGCCACGAACCCGGACAAAATCCCCCGACAGAACGCACACGACGCCGGACACTAAGGGACGACCTCGCGCCATGAGAACAATGGTCCGCCAACCCGACCCCATTCCCCAACAAGCAAGCGTGCCCACACTAGGACCTCCCACCCCCCAGCTCCCTCTAAGACCCCGTGCTCCTTCTACGACCCCGAGCTCCCCCTCTCCGCCACGCTTCCCTTACGGACCCCATGCTCCCCCTCTCCGCTACGCTCTCCTAATGGATCCCTTGCTCCCCTAAGACCCCGTGCTTCCTCTAAGACCCCATGCTCCCCCTTCTCCGCCACGCCCCCTAATGGACCCCGTGCTCCCCCTCCGTCACGTTTCCCTAATAGACCCTACGCTCCCCTTCTGGTGGAGCCCATTAGCTCCCTCAGAACCCGCATGTCCCCCTCTCCGCCACGCTCCCTAATGGACCCATAATCCCCTAATGGACCCACCAGCTCCCCCTAAGACCCCATTATCCCCCTCTCCGCCACGCTCCCCTAATGGACCCCATTTTCCCCTCCCCTACGCTCCCCTATGGACTCCACGCTCCCCCCTAAGACCCCATTATCCCCCTCTCCGCCACGCTCTCCCTAATGAACCCCATGCTCCCCTTAGGACCCCGTGCCCCCCCCCGCCCACCTCTCCGCCACGCTCCCCTAACGGACCCCGTGCTCCCCCAAGACCCCCATTTATCCCCTCTCCGCCACGCTCTCCTAATGAACCCCATGCTCCCCCTTGGACCCCCCGTGCTACCCCCCCCTCTCCGCCACGCTTCCCCTAATGGACCCCCTCATCGACTGTTGGGAAAACACCGCTCGCCGCCACAAGTCATTTCCCCCTCGGCGCCCAGAGGGGAAACGAGGCCGTGTGTCAAGCGATAGACTAGGCCGCGCTCTCCTCGCAGGTCACGCCGCGCGAGTCACTATCTGGGAATGGGAATGGGAATGGGAATGGGAATGGGAACAGGCGCGCGCGGGCATCGGATAAGTGGAACGGAGGGGGAGGGAGGAAGAGATAAGGGGGGAATAACATCATATTTAATTTTGATGATGATAAGGGATGAGGATAAGGGTGGGGGAGGGGGGTAAAGTATAATATTTAATTCAGTGAAGATGATACTGATGATGGTGATGATTGAGAACTGATGATGATTTGATGATGGTAAGGGATAAGGATAAGAAGGGGAAGGAGGAGAAATGAGAAAGGCGGAATTAAATGATGGTGATGAAGGATAATCGAAAAAAATACCAAGAAAGCGGAACGAATAAAGGAAAAAGAGAGAAAATGAAGAAGAAAAAACAGAGAGTAAGAGAGGAAGAAGAGGAAGAGAAAAGAGAGAAGAGAGAGAGAGAGAGAGAGAGAGAGAGAGAGAGAGAGAGAGAGAGAGAGAGAGAGAGAGAGAGAGAGAGAGAGAGAGAGAGAGAGAGAGAGAGTGAAGAAAGAGCGAGAGAGAGAGAAGAACGAGCGAGAGAGAGAGAGAGACAGAGAAAAGAACGACAATGGGTTAAATTGCGCAACGAAATGAGCAACCTAAATTGCCGGGTACACAGACCCTCACGCCACAGCTGGGAGAGAGTACAGCTGGCCGTCCGTCGTCAAGCAAGGAAGGAAATCAATAGCAGATGAATAAGACGTACGCCGCCATCGAGTCGATAAGGACAGGCCACTTCCGAAAGGCCATCGTCCGTTTGTACATTTTTCTAGTTAGTTTAGTTCCCCCCCCCCCCACTCTTTCCCCTTGCCCCTGCCCCCGCTTCCGTTTCAAAAAAAAAAAAAAAGAAAAAGAAAAGAAAAAAAAAAAAAAAAAAACGAATTCAACTTCAATAAAAAAAAATACACGAATTCAAGCACACGATATCAAATTCAATTTAAAAAGTACACGAAGTCAACTTCAGTAAAAATGTACACGCATTCAAGCTAGTTAGACCCCCTTGCCCCTACCCACCCCCTTCCATTTCAACTTCCTAGTGAAAAAAAAATCTAGAAAACGAATGCCAGTTAGTTCCCTCCTCCTCCTCCATGCCCCCTGCCCTATGCCCCCGCTTCTATCCCAACTCCCGAGCGAAAAGAAACGAAACAATACCGAGAAAAATAATTCTAATACACGGTCGCAAGTTAGTTTAGTCGTATCTCTTCATCGACCCAATAAGGACAAGCCATTTCCGCAGTGCCATCGTCCGCTTAGTACGTTACTAGTACACGGATGCAAGTTAGTTTCGTACCCCCCCCCCCCGCTTCCATTTCAACTCCCGTGCGAAAAAAAAGGAAAAAATATAGTACAAGTCAGTTTCGTACCCCCCCCCCCACCTCTGCCTTCTACCCCCCGTTTCCATTTCAACTCCCGTGCGAAAAAAAAGAAAAAATCTAGTACAAGTTAGTTTTAGTACCCCACCTCTACCCCCCCCCCTCGCCCCGCTTCCATTTCAACTCCCGAACGAAAAAAAAAAAAAAAATCTAATACACGGATGCAAGTTAGTTTAGCCCCTCCCCCCACCTATGACCCCCTCCCTTGCGCCCAATTCAACTCCGAACGAAAAAAAAAAAAAAAAAAAATAACAGAAAAAATCTAGTACACTCTTCTACCCCCCCCCCCCCGCTTCAATTTCAACTCCCGAGCGAAAAAAAAACAATCTAATACACGGATGCAAGTTAGCTTAGTCCCCCCCCACCTGCTAACCCCCCCCCCTTTTCCCTCGCTCCCAATTCAACTCCCGAGCGGGAAAAAAGGGGAGAAAAAATACAAAAAAAGAGGGAAAAATACAAAAAAGAGGAAAAAAAAAGACCCTGGATTCCTCTTTCTACGGCTGTCGCGTCCTCATTCCCGAGCCTTCGAACCCTACCTTTCAGCGGCCGAAGATCGATCCGGGCGGCTCTGCTCTCCCCACCCTTTCTCCTGTCGTTCCTTCTCCCCCGTTCACGCTCTTTTTTTCGTGATTCTGCTTCTCTTTCTTCCATTCTCTGTCTCTCTTATCGTCGTTTCTACCGTTTCTAACCTCTTCGTCTATATTTTTATTCTTGTCTCCCATTTCTATCTGTCGCTCCTTCTCTCCCATTCACGCTCTTTTTCGTTTCTGCTTCTCTTTCTTCTTTTCTCTCTTTTCGTCGTTTCTACCGTTTCTACCTCGTCTATTTTGTCTGTCTATGATCTCTCTTCTCTCCCATCCACGCTCTTTTTTATGCTAATGCTTCTCTCTCTCTTTTCGTCGTTTCTCCCATTTCTACCTCCCCCGCCTATTTTTTCTGTCTATGATCTCTCTTCTCTCCCATTTCTACCTGTCGCTCCTTCTCTCCCATTCACGCTCTTATTTTATGCTTCTGCTTCTCTTTTTTCCCTTTTCTCTCTTTTCGTCGTTTCTCCCATTTCTACCTCGTCTATTCTTTTTTGTCTATGATCTCTCTTCTCTCCTATTTCTACTGTCGCTCCTTTTCTCGCCATTCTGCTCTTTTTTATCCTTCTGCTTTCTCTCTCTCTCTCTCGTCGTCTCCTTCGCTCTATCTCCCTCGTTCTACTTTTTTTTCTATGATCTCTTCTTCTCTTCATTTTTCTACTCCCCCCTTCTATCTTTTTTTTCCTTTTTTTCTCTCCTTTCCTCCCATGTCTTCCTTTCTTTCTGTATTTCTCTCCTTCTCCTTTTTCTCTCTATAGTTCCTATTTCTGTCTTCTCTCTCCATTTTCTCTCCATTCCTTCCTTTTTTTTGTTTTCCTCCCTGTCCCTCTTCTACTTTCTTCTCATCTCACACTTTCCTTTTCCGCTGCTTTCCTTTCTACCTTTCCCCTTCTCCTCCTCCTGGCCTTCGCTTCTTCTCCCATCACTCCATTTCACCTCCTTCCCCCTCCCTCCACAACACCACCACCTCTTTCTCCATCTCCATCTCCTTCTTCTTCGTCTTCTTTTCCTTCTCCTCCCTTTCCCCTCTCCTTCTCCCCTCCTCCTCCCTCCTCCTCCTCCTCCTCCTCCTCCTCGCGTATGCCCTTCTCTCCTTCTCTCGCCTCCTCCCCCACTTCTTCCTCCCTGAACCCGAGCTGTTCTCACAGCGGGCGAGATGTTTTGCTCCTCTCTCTCTCTACTCTCTTCTCTCGTCTTCTTCTCTCTCTCTCTCTACTCTCATCTCTCTCTCTGTCTCTCTCTCTCAATCTCTCATCTCAATCTCTATCCTATCTTCAATCTCTCATCCTCTCAATTCTCATCCTCACCTCCTCTCTCATCCTCACTCTCAATCTCTCATTCCTCACTCTCAATCTCTCATTCACTCTCAATCACTCTCATCCTCACTCTCAATTCTCTCATCCTCACTCTCAAATCTCTCATCTCTCATCTCTCATCTCTCATCTCTCATCTCTCACTCGCTCTCTCATCCTCACTCTCAATCTCTCATCCTCACTCTCAATCTCTCATCCTCACTCTCACTCTCATCCTGCACCTCATCTCTCTCACTCTCATTCTCTCTCACTCTCGACTCTCAACGCTCTCTCACTCTCACCCTCACTCTCTCTCTCTCTCTCTCACTCTCACCCTCTCTCTCTCTCTCACTCTCACCCTCAACTCCTCTCTCTCTCACTCTTCTACCTCTCGAGCATCTCTATTCATCGACAGATCCACTCTCTCTCTCTCTCTCACCTGACCCTCACCTCTGCTCTTCTCTCAAAGTCAGTACCATCGCCTCTGCTGCACATCATCCTCTCTCTGCGTCGCACTCAGAATTCCTCTCCCTCTCTCACCACTCATGCTCACTCTCCTCTATCACAGCTGATAATCACCCGCCACCCTCACTCACTCTCGCTACACCACCTTCGACTCTAACTGCACACTTCACCCTCACACTCACTCCTGACACCTCGAACCTTCAACCTCAACTCCTCACTCTCTCTCTCCCAGATGCTTGTGGCGGAGATACCGATAATATCTCGGAACGCGCGAACAAATTTCCGGCAAGCGTAGTTTTTGCTGTTACTGGCAGTATCGCCATCAAAGTACCTCTGGCAGATGTCGATAAAAGGTACAAGTCTGACACCCCCTCTGCCAGTCACGTGCATTGATTTTCGCATCCTCATTCTCTTGGTTGCTTGGAGCCTCTTCAATTCGGTATACATTTCTCTCTCGTGCGCCGTTTGGCATTCTTCGTACACGGGGGCGGGGGCGAGCTCTCCCTGATCTACAACTATCGCAAAGATGTGTGGGATCGGCGCGCGGGATGGAATATATCCGAGCTTGATTTTCTCACTAAGGCCTAGGTCGATGTGGTCTGCAACTCCAGTGCGCAATGTTTTTAATCTTTCTACTTTCTTTGCCTTTTCTCTAAATCTTTGTCTCTATCTCTTATCAATAAAAGGATTACAATCAAAAAATCGCCGAAGGGAGGGGGGCTCGTCACTATACACAGAAGTGCTACTTAGTGCTCCCCCCCTGCTAAGCCTGTCTAGTGTAGTCAACACG